TTGAGTACCCGGACGTGCACTTACGTGACGGGATGTATTTCCAGCTGAAGGGACCGCGACTGCCGCTCGAGCTATTCTTCTTGATCGTCGCTGAAGCTCGAGAGGACAAGAAGGCGCTGAAGACTTTCTCCCTTGTGTCCAAGGGCTGGATGCACGTTGCACGCGAGATTCTATTCGTCCAAATCCCCCTCCTCCGCGTCAAACCGTTTCTCAACGATCCGCACTGCACTATATTTCCATACGTGCGAGCGCTTTTCATCCGTCGCGACGACACCAAAGATGGGACGGCGATTCCGTCGGTAATAACACCCAACTGGCTCGACGACTACCTCGTCCACGTCCCCAAATTCACTGCCCTCGCGTCACTAGAACTTTCCCATCTCAAGTCACGCGACTTGCACAACATCGCCCGCGCCCTGCCACCAGACACAAAATGGCGTATCCGCGAACTCAACCTCTGCCGCCCCGACGCCTCCTTGTCCGCCATCACAAATTTCATATCCAACTTCACACAGCTCACAACCCTCAAATGCTCGGAGATGGACGAAAGCCGGCGGAACAATGCGCTAGCGCGGCTGTTCCCCTCCACGCAGGCTGGCACAGATGCGCTGGCGGCGCCGCCACCGAGCCTCACAACGCTGCTGTTCTGGGAGACCGGATACCTCCCGGCCAACGTCCTGAAATGGCTGACCGCCCGCCACCCCGGTGCGATCGAGTTGTTCCGTCCTGATTATCTGCAGCCCGAATACCCAGCCGAGTTCAGAGACTTCATCGTTCGTTTCGGGGGTTCTCTTTCGGAAATCGAGCTCTCGTTTTTCAACGAGTGCGATGCTGGTAAGTACTAGGCCGGGTGTGTTTCGCAGCCAGACTAACGTTGCCTCGCAGTTAAACTCCTGGACGCGCAATATCTGACCGCGCTGAGCGAGCTCAGGTGCATCGTGCTGGATTTTCACCACGCCAGGCTGAGCTGGCTTCCCAACATCATCGCACAGCTCCCCCCGAGCATCGAAAGGATGAAGATCTACGTGGACGGTGGCCACGTGTCCCGCATTGACGAAGGCTGGCCTGAGCTGGACCAGACTCTCGCTGGAGGGACGGCGTTCCCATCCCTTTGCAACTTGACAATCTGGATTCGCCACGCTAACTACTACAGTAAGCAGCAAATTTTGCAAATACTCCTTCCCCTCAGCGCCGAGAAACGGATTCTTGCACTGGAGGTCGATTTCCCTTAGTCTACTCTACTGTTTCAGTGCTAATAGGTCGTTGTATCATTATCGCTTCGGCTGACTGACCGCACCAGCATCCTTGTCGTTATCCCCATGGTAGTTTATGTTTTGTGCGTTAGATCAGGCATTGAGGGTTAGATTTCAGAGTTAGTGATTCACAGTTACTTTGACTGACTTCTGACCGTGTACAATATGTGTACTCTATTCTATAAATTGCTCGACCGTCATCAATAAGTACATGCAGACCGCATAGATCCATGCCAAAGAAATAAATATCACAGCGCGACATCGTACTCCTCCTCCACGGACGCGATGAAGGATATGAGCTGCGACGGAGCACGCCTCGTCAGCACAATGAATGACAAAAAATTATGGACTTGCAGCGGCATGCCTCTTCTCGCCCAGCGCCTTCCCAGGTGCGGTTTTCAGTCGGTCTTTTATCAGGACGAGTTTGTCGTGGAAGTGCTGGATCGCTGAGTCTTTGAGGCGCGGGTCGTCGGAGGGGACGTGCAGGGGGCTTGGGGCAGTCAGCACCCTGTCAATAGTAAGGAAGTGAAGGTTAGAGGAGGCGTACCGGTTTACCACAGCGCTGTAGGTCCGCACAACGCATGATTCCTAAAGAAGTAAAAAAAGAGATAAATTGCTGCATGAGGAAGAGCGAAAAAAAGACATACCAAACGCGCCGATGGCATCCAACCTATCCGCATCCTGTACGCCTGAATACATGTACCCGCATAAGCCTCATCGGAATGCCGTTGTCTCGAATGAATCGACTACTTACAATGCAACTCCACGCAATTCTCGTGCCACTCGCTCCAAGAGGCCGTCTTTGCGCAGCCGCTTCTCCGTGCTCCACGACACGTTGTCCACGATCTGCGCGACCTGCCGTGCACGCCCGTCGCGCACGAGGTCGACTCCGGGGCCGTGTTTCGCCGCGAGGGAGGTGAAGAAGGGGAGGAAGAAGGCGTAGGGGTCCGCGGCTTGCTCGGCGGAGACATATTTCTTGTCGAGGACGTCGTGTAGGAGGGCGGCTGCATGCGCGTCCGGGGTCGTTCAGAAGTTGCCTGGCAAATATTACGGCGCGAAGGAGACGGACCGAGTTCCACGACGAGGAGGTCTGGTTTGGGAGATACGGCGTTCGCAAGCGCAAGCGCCGTCCTACGGACGCGCTGGACTATTTCACGCGTCAGTTGGTAGCTCGACACGGCAAAGACGCGTCTTAAAAGCACCATGGAACGCGTCGTGCGATGGGTCGTACTTTGCCATCGCGTCATTCATGACCTGCTCGGCCTCGGCGATTATGGCGCGTTCTTGGTCGGTGGTGGGAGACATGGTGGTGGAAGAGGATGTGATTCTCGAGGGTTTGTAATTACTCATCGTTCGAGCTGCCTCACAGTGATCGACGGCAAAAAGTCGTGTGATGTGGAATACAGTAGCAGCGGGTTGGGGCCGGTCTCAGTTTGCTGCCAGCGATCCTTGAATTCATGAAACTGACAGCCAGTCACTGCAGCATGTGGATAGCTGAGAAGCCCAAGCCAACGCTGGGGTGCGAGGGCGCATCCCAACTTGTGGTCGGATCTTTCCGCTCAGTGCTCGGCCCGCAGGTGCCCGAAGTTCAGGCTCGCAGTTGGACGCAATTTACACCAGCCCAGAACCAAAATCCAATGAGTACCCATACTATTTGTCCATCTCCGAATCACCGAGGGACGCGGTGTTCGAATTCCCGAAGAACATCTAGAGAAACGATTGCAGAGCGAGGAGGCTGCTTGGAGGTTAAACCACAAGCGCAAAATAATCCCAGCTAGTTACGTCCAGCAAAGAAAAGTAAAAAAAAGTAACAGCTTGCAGAGTTATATCCACGCAATTACATTATACATATCTGATGGTCGACAATACACCCTCGTTGTCTACCAGATGAACAGCACCTGTAGCGTCGTCGACACACAGCCCGTCGAGTTCTTCGAGATCGATGGTATCGGGAACGGCAAGGGCATGCACGGAGGTGGACATGGTGTCCGGGTGATAGCGCACGAGGACAAGTCTCGGGGGGTCGGCTTCGGTCTGAACAACGGCCCCGATATTGGAGCCGCTGTGGTCCGACCAAACGTGATTGTGGCCAAGAACCCAACCGGGAACCAAGGCCACAACAGACGGCGAGTCGAAGGCGAGAGGTGAGGACACGTCGTCGTCAGAAGCATGTGTGAGGCTGCTCGGCAGGAACGTGAATGAGGTCAAGGACCTTAAATCGTCCTCCTCGTCCTCCTTTATGCGGACAAAAATTGCACCGATTCCGTAACGAGGCGTGCTGGGAAGCAGGGTACGGAATGGATAGAACAATGGATCGAAATCATTTCCAGAAAGAGCCTTCTCCGAAATAAAACGGCCGGACTCTTCACAGTGACCGGAGCGTAGACTTCTCCGCGAGATATGCTGGATTTGAACCGATCGCCCATCTTCGATGAGATTGTAGAGATGCTCCTTGTATGTAAAGCATTCCATCAAGTCGCGCTCGGTGGAAACCTAAAATATGAACAGTGAGTCGCCTGACAGTGGGGTTTCCTAGGCAAGGACATACGGAACGATGTAATCTCAATACACTGGCGGAATCCAAAAGAGGGTTATTACTGTTCACTTCACCGGCTGTTATAATGCACTGTTCTTCATCGTCCCCCGTCACGATGGATCCGACCACGTCTTCAGTGAGAAACAACAAATTTGAGTCGCCGGAGTTAGAGATCAAAACGTCCGAGACTCGATTTGTGAAACTAACGACTTTTCCGTCCTCATGTTTTATCGTCAGAATGTATCTGTGGTCGGTGCTAAAAGGAAAAGAATGTTACTTCATGATAGAAGTAGATTAACGGATGACAAACTGGGTACCGATGTTTCCGAGTTTTTGTGTCAAAAGAGCTATACTGTATATGCCTGGGCTTTCGGTAAAGGAGACCGAATCGATAACCCCTATTTCTATAGCCGGGAATGGGCACGGAGTTGCCAGTTTAGAATCCCAGCACAATACGCTGTCCCCCGTGGTCAGAACCAGGATATCGGTTCCCTGCAGACTAGCGAGGATTTCTGGAGGCGACTGGAAATGAGTCGAAGTCACACGAGCGATTTGCGGGTAAGGCTGGTTCCAATTATCTCGGAGCTTTTGCCACGAGAATACCAGACCCTTGAGTGTTTCCAAGGTAAATCGGGAGAGATTAGCGTGCGGTGGACATGCTATCGGGGATTTCATTCGTGTCGTCTCCAGAGCCGAGATCCAGAAACTACGTTGGGTCGACAAGCTATAAAGGGACGAGCATGTCTGGTCGAACTATGAACAATTGTTCAAGACTTTAGGCCTTGGCACGTACTAGGAGAAGGGATATTGGATCAGGCAATTCTAGAAAGCGCACAACTTCCAGAAAGATTTCTGTTGGAAGATCGAGTACAAGAGTCATCGAAGCCACGCCTAACCACGATGAGCTCAAACAAATGGTGAGAGTCAAAAGCAGGGATTGGCGATCGGCGAATCGTGGAACACTGATGGGTGATTGTGATCACTCGGATCAACGCGCTAGTGACTGAATTTCAACTTTGTTCACAATTCCCTACTCAAAGGAACAGTTGGGCTCGAGAGGTCTGTCGAAAATGAGGATGAGCATTCAGCACCCTCACAAAAAGACTTCCTCTTCATCAGACCTCAACAAGCTAGAATCGACACATCAAACAAAGTTGCATCACGTACGAGAACAGACAAGATATGTATGCTCTGCAAAACAATTGTTGCATGGCCATCGTGGGGTTGAACCCAAGACCTTCGCATTATTAGTATGACACTCTAACCAACTGAGTGGCTCGTGCACAAGCACCCAGCCTGACATAGATCAAGGGGGAGGAGCTTGGTTGAGCAAGGTACTGGGGAGGTGTTGATCTCATTTGCAGCAGAGCATGAGTTCGAATCTTGGAGCTTTCCGACTCAGCATATCGGTGTTGAGCCCCTTTTGGGTGGGATTTCAGGCAAGGATGGCAATCTATACTCACTCAACTTGAAGATTGGAATACCGTGAAAAATTGAGGTAGTGAGTGCCAGCAGAGAGAAATTGATGAGGATGGAGAGGGAAGACAAATGAAATGAGATGTTTCCCGCTGTTCGTCACAAATTGTGGACTGGGCTAGGGTATGCTCGTGAATTAAAATTTCAGACTGTCTTGACAAGAAGGATGTCCCAAAAGTGGAGCCCTTGAAGCTTCAAGTTTGGGTCTTGCACTTTCCGGAGAGCTTTCAAATCAGGCTTTAACAAAATTTTGAGTCTTGAATTGATTGAGCTTGATACCCCCGAGACGTCTCCAGTTTTGGGGACGGCGAGGTCTTGACACCATAAACTACACAGAATCTGGAACTGTCAGCACAGAGCAGATTCCGGGTTCTGAGGGTGACGAGGGCGACTGAAGCACGAAGAGTTCCAAATGAATAAGCAGGGAGTTTAGACTAGAATAGTGTAAAGTACAGGAGAATAACTACGGTTTATATACTAAAGCCTCTAGGGGTTTGTAAATTAAGGTACAGTGTCCAATGACAACGGACAAGATTAATGCGAAGTAAATGAAGGGGTATAGGAACATAGAGGGGTGATCGGGAACCCGAAGGTCGGGAAACCGATCATAACCGTTTGGGATCCTAAAACGGTATCCAAGTTCGATTGATCAGATAGTTGATCTGATCAATGATCGGGTTGTTCGGGTTGTTCGGGTTCTGGAAGTAAAATGAAAAGACGATTCATGACATTACCCCCCCTCTAGGTGAAACCCGCCTCGGGTTTCACGACTGACGCCGCTTCTTGTTCCACAGGTCCTGGCCTGTGATGACCCACTTCCGTCCGTGTGCGGTCTCTCTTAGAGCCGCCGGGTACTTCTCGTAGAAGTCTTCAAGACATTCAGTAGAATCCCCCAAGTGTTCCAAGGGCTCCTAGGTATTATCCTCGGGTCCATAACCCTCCCATCGAATCAGGTATTGCAAGTGTTTCCGCTTTTTGTTGAGGCGTATCTTCAGTACCTCGGCAATCTCATAGAGATCAACCCCGTCCACCACGTCAGGCGGAGGGGGATCGTCATGATGCTGATGAGCCGCCACCGGTGGAACCCAGGGTCGAAGGAATACGGTGTTGAAGACTAGATGAACCTTCCAGGAGTCGGGAAGTTTAAGCTCATAGGAGATGGCTCCCACTTTACGGACGACCGTGAAAGGACCATAGCGCCGAGCTTCGAACTTCTTCGTCGGGCGATGTGTGACCAAATTTGCTCCAGAGAGGTACACCTTATCGCCGGGTTTGTAGTCGGGGTCTGCCTGTCATTTGGCATTGTAGAACCTTTTCATCGTCTCCTGCGCTGCGCACATGGCGGCTCCCGCTTCCTCTCGGACCTTCGACATCCGGGTTGCAAATTTCGTCGCGTCCTCGGTCGGTACTTCAAGACGTGGTTCCGTCCCCTTCCGCGGGTGGAACCCCATGGTCACGAAGAAGGGGCTGAAACCCGTAGTCTTGCTAACCTGGTCGTTGTGGTTGAATTCCGCCAGAGTCAACCAATCCGCCCAGTCGTCCTGCAGGAAGTTGGTGAAAACCCGAAGGTATTGCTCGATGTTCTGGTTGACTCGTTCGGTTTGTCCATCGGTTTGCGGATGATAGGCCGTCGAGGCATTCGACTTTATGCCCAGGAGCTTCAACAGATCCCGCATGAAGTGTCCCACGAACTGCGTCCCACGGTCGCTAATCACCACCTCGGGCAACCCGAAGTCTTTCCACACATGGTCGCGGTAAATGCGCGCCATCCCCTCTCCTCCCAGGTGCTCGGTGCAAGGCACCACCCGGATTCCTTCCCTAGTTGATCCACGATCACCGCGATAGAGTTGTACCCATTACTGACGGGTAGTTTGGTGATTAGGTCCACCGAAACATTCTGCCAAACCCTTTCCGGAACCGCGTTGGGATGTAGTGGTCCTCAGAGCTTAGAGGGAAAGAGCTTCGTCCTCTGACACACGGGACAAGCCGAGACATATCGTTTAGCGTCCGATAGCAGAGAGGGCCAGTAGTAGTTCCGGGTTATTAATTCCGCCGTTCGGAATTGTCCCGGATGTCCGGAAATGTAGTCGTCGTGGTGTGCTCGTAGAATCCGGTGTCGTAGATCTCCAGTCGGGGGAACATATACGGTTCGATACCGGGTTACAAACCCGTCCTCGTGTTCTTCCCAGCCCTCGGCCTTTTCTTCTAGCGCTTTCTTCACCACATCTTCCCAATCAGCTTTCCCGCCCTTGATGTCCTCCATGAACTGATCGCCCGCCGTGTCGTCCAAGACCGCCGGCATGGCTTTCAAAAATTCCTCCCCGTCCATCCTCCGGAAGTACTGTTCCGGCAGCAGCACAAGATTCAAATTATCCTGTGCCCCCTTCTCATGACCGCTTCGCCTCGAAAGCGCGTTGGTTTTCGCGTGTTGTTTCCCGGGTTTATGAATGAGCGCGAAGTCGTATTCGCTGAGTTCCAAAGACCACCGAGCCTGTCGTCTATTGAGTTTCTTCGTCGTGGTGAAGTACTCCAGATTCTTGTGGTTGGTCCAGATCTCGAATTTCAGCTGACTGCCCTGTAGATAGTGTCGCCATTTGTAAAGGGCCCGCATGATCGCCAAAATTTCCTTGTTGTGGATGTCGTAGTTCCGCTCGGTGTCGTTTAGTCCCTTGGACATGAACGCAATCGGAACCCACACCCCGTTCTGGCACTGCGTCAAGCAGGCCCCTGTGGCGTAATCCGAGGAATCCGCCTCCACCCGCCATTCCCCATCATCCATTGGAAAATGCAGTACGGGTTCCGAAGTTACGGCCAATATTAATTGGTCGAACACGTTCTTTTCCAGTTCTCCCCACCTCCACTTGTAATCTTTCCGGGTAAGACGAGTTAACGGCTTCGCGTAATCCCCGAATCCTTTGATGAAGCGTCGGTAGAAGTTGAGGAACCCGAGGAAGCTTTGTACGTCTTTGACATTCCTCGGGGTTGCCCATTGTCGAACGCCCTCGACTTTTATGGGATCCATCCGAATTTTCCCATTGCCGACGATGACGCCCAGGTATTCAACCTCTCTCTGTTTGAACTCGCATTTCTCGGGTTTCGTTTTCCTGAAGAATCCGCAAGACCTCCTTGACTGTGTTTGGAACAACTCGTTTCCTGAAGAATCCGCAAGACCTCCTTGACTGTGGAGCGGTGTTCTTCCAGATGTTCCGAATAGATGAGAATATCGTCCAGATAAACAATAACCCGTCCTTCCACAATAAGATCCGCAAAGATGTCGTTCATCATGGATTGGAAGGTGGCCGGTGAATTTGTAAGACCGAAGAACATAACCAACGGTTCCCACAACCCTCGGTTTGTGACAAACACGGCTTTCTCTTCATCTCCTTCCTTGATCCGGATATTGTTGTATCCCCATCGAACATCCAATTTAGTGAACCAGGTTGCCTTACGGAGCATGTGCATGATCTCCGAAATCAGCGGAAGAGGATACCGGTTCTTGATGGTAAGGGAGTTCAACTTCCGATAGTCCTGAACAGGCCGTAGTTTCCCATCCTTCTTCTTCACAAAGAAGAAAGGAGAGGCCCATGGCGATTTCGAGGGGCGAATACGGCCGGTTTCCACATGTTCTTTAATGAACGCGTCCAATTCCGCCTGTTCCGGGACAGACAAGGGAATACTCCGCCCCTTTACGGGTTCTGCGCCGGGTTTCAACTCTATCGCGTGGTCCCACTTTCGCCGTTCCGGTAGTTTATCAAAGTCCTTTTTCTTGAAGACCCCTCGAAATTCCTCCAGATAATGAGCAGGGACGCTCTCTTCCAGCGTCTTAGCCCCCTTGGCCTCGTGAGCAGCGGCCGCCAGCTTAGTAGCCACGCTACCCATAGCGCGGAGGTGTTCGGCATCCCGTGTGTCCAGAACGTCTTCGGGATACATCTTTGTGACGAAGATGCGGTCTCCCTCTCCTACGTCGGTGTTGTCCTCCTCCTCCCACTCCTCCCATAAGCGGGCTCGTTTGCAAGCGGCAGGACACCTGGAGAAACGAATGGTTTGTTTCTGTCAGTCGATCTCCGGGTTGTGTTGTTTCAGCCAATTGAACCCGATGATGACGTCGCTCTTCCCAGTATCCGTTACCGCAAACGAGAATATTTCGGCATGGTCCTGCATTCGGAGACGCATGCGCGCAACGTGGGTGATGCGTCCTCCTTTGTTGAGGGAACCGTCTGCGTTGTAAACCGGAACCGCTACGGCTAGGGGTTCCACTTCGATTCCGTGCTTGTCGACGAACCGCTGGCTCATGAATCCGTTGGTAGCCCCACTGTCCAGTAACCCGACCACTGTATAACCTTTAAGGTTATTCAGCCCTTCGAGGGTCATTGGAACCATCATGGAGTTCCCAGTGGCCCGGATATACTGTGGTGGCTCTTTCAAGTTGTCCAGTATGCCCAGGGCGTCAGGGAAGTAAGCCGTCCGGATTTCTTCCACCATCTCGTCGTCCACCTCTTGTATTCTGGCCGGGTGAGTCCACTTGGTGATAATCTCCCGCGCCTTCCATTCTTGGGCCCCGCGCTCAGGTTGCAACCCGACGCGCACTTCCGAGGGGGAGTCTGCGCCATTCCGCTTTCTCCCGCTCGGGCTTCCGGGGTTTCCTGCCCCTTCGCTTAGAGTCAGAGGGAGAAACGGCTCCCTCACTCTTCTCAAACTCAGAGGGAGTCCTCGCTCCCTCTCCTTCCATCTCCACTGTGTCTTCCCCCACACCGGGTTCTTCGATAGTCAAAACAGAGAATGAATTGTTCGAAGTCGTTAC